ATACAACAATGGATGCATGCCAGAGTGGTTATTAATTCAAGCAGGCAAGAAGAGAACAGAGAGTTTTCCTAGAAGGGGATATGGTCTTCTTAAAGCTACAAACATATATGTTCAACCTTCGGTCGCTCATAATAAGTTAACGTTCAAATTCTATGGTCCGTACACAATTCTTCAGAAGATCGGTTATGTCGTATGCAAGCTTGAGCTTTGAGTTTTCGGTCGCATCCATCCGATGTTTCAAATGTCTCAACTGAAGCAATCCGTGCCTCCAACAGTCCAACTCATCAGGTGACTACAAGCCTACCTTCTGTTGATGTTAATGTGAAGGTTCCTGTTAAGGTTCTTCGCCGTGGTGTCTGGCAATGGGATCATCGTACCGTTGCTCAAGTCCTTGTCGAATGGAGTGAAGCTGACCCTGAAGCCACAACCTCGGAGGATTTTGAGTCTCAATGACAAAAGTTTTTTGCATGCTCTGGCTTGGGACAAGGTGACAAGAACCAGGCACACTGGATCAGCCTCCACGTCCTAAATGGCTTTTTAAAGATGGCTTGCAGGCCAGGAGTGGGCCCGCTAGGCCTTGTAATCGTCTAGTAATACCATGTTAGTCTCTTATGCTCGTCTGGAACATTTATGTAAGCTGCAAGGGTGGATGGGAGGAACAACTACAGTAGCAATGCAATTCGAATTCGCCATTGATTCTTAGTCGGATCTTCAATTTCTCGGTGGATAGTAGTTGTAGCTTACAATATATAACTCAAAGTAACCATGAAACGCAAAAAAAAAAAGACAGTCTAGAAGCAGCATCTCGATATCAAAACAGTGCTCATTTAAATTTAAGGTCTCATTTCGCATTTTGTCCCGGTGCCTTAAATTGCTAGAGACAACCTGCCAGACACGTTAAAATAATAGTCATAACTGGTGCGAACCAATTTGTAATTGAATGGTTAGGAGAACAGTGATATCCCTAGCCCACCAGAGTTCAAGTCCTGGTGCTCGCATTTTTCTGGATTTATTTCAGCATTTTCGATGATGCGCATTCAATGAGTAAGATGTTTCCGTTGACTACGAGGCACCTATGATGACTTCGTAAATCCCATGGTGATATGCCGGATTAGTTTCTTAGGGATGCTCATAGAGAAAAAGTATGCATATGTGTGTTTATAGAAGCGAGTATATGCGCGTATATACATAAGCGTTTGCGAATGTTAAGAAATAACTGGTGGGTGGATGGACCGATCCAGCTCAAATCTCTGTGTGGGTTCAGTCAAAGGGTCTCTAGACAAATTAAACCCGCGTAGCATGTGCATGATGCTGATTGCTACTTGTAGGAGACTAACGTTACTTCTAATTAATGCAAGACTTTCCAATCTCATACTAATAATGAGTTACCAGTGCCATTGACTTGCCATGTTCAGATGCATATCTATGCATGCCTTAGAGCATGCTTGGATACGTTTTAGTCCCATGACTAAAAGTAGTGGGACTAAAACTTGTTAGTCTCACCCATGCTTGGATCCAAATACTAAAGAGACTAAAATCTAGTTATTGAGCATTTATTATTCTCCAAACCCTCCAATCCAGAACTAAGGAGAGGAATTAAATGAGGAGAGAGAGAGCTAATACATATTTTAGTAGGTTTCCCATGACTAAAAGATTTTAGCCTCAAGACTAGTCCTAGCCTCTCTTTAGTCAGGGGTGCTTGGAACTTTAGCCTCTAAAAGAGACTATTTTTAGTCAGACTAAAAATAGTCCCTTGTATCCAAGCACCCTTTTATCTATCATTGCAACTTGCAAGTCAGACAACTAGCACCCACTACTAGTTCTCATATCGAACCTAAATTCCATCGTGCCACCGTAGAAAAGATTGGATCTAGGAAAGGAAGAGGATCTTGAAGAAGTGCCTTGGTTTTCAGGGGAGGATTACTCGGTGATGATCCTGATGAACTGATATTAGGATGGATTGTGAAGATCAAACAAGATGTTTGGTGATAAGAAAGGTACCTCAGAGACCAACCGCCTTGGCAGCGATGCGTGTATAAACCCTAGGGTCTCCGTATGCCGTTGGAGGCCGACAATGCCTTCATGCCTAGCAAACTACAATTAAGCAGCAGCAACAGGTCATTTGTAAAAGGAAACGTTTGTGACCGGCGGACCGGCTGAAGCTTGGGCCGGTCGCGCGCGGGTTGCACGACCGCCCAGATCCATCGTCCCCTGTTGGTTCCCAACGTGGCCACGTCAGACAAGGCCGGTCCTACCCACATCTATTCCTCCGTTCAGATCTCTCTCGACCACTCGTTCAGATCCCACCTTCCCCTCTCTCTCCTTCCTCCAGACGCGCCGCTCTCTTCTCCGCCTCCCTGTTGCGGCTGTATCCTTCTCCTAGGCTGCCGGCGAGCTTCCGCGAGTCCTTTTCTTCCATTTTTGTTTTCCAGATCAGAAAAAGGTGTTTGCAAAGGGAGGCCATGGATTGCTTCCAACCCGGGGAAGCCATGGCTGTGGATCTCCTTGGCGAGGTCGTACGTTTCTGCAACCAGCGAGGACTAGAGGTGATGGCCACTGGTGCTGAAGCTGGAACTGGCTTTGTGATTTGCTTCAACCGACACGGGGAAAGCTACAACCGGCGCCTGGGTTTGCTACAACCAGGTGACGGCGAGCGTTGCCGGCGACGGCGCACATTTTTTTGGTGCAACGGGTAGTGGAACCACCGGCACCTTGTTTTGCTACAACCAAGCTGGAACCACGCTCGCGAAAAGCTGCAACCGGCAACGGAGTTTTTACTACCTCGACCGGCAGGCACGACGGCGGAGCACACGGGAATGCTACAACCGTTGAGGCAAGAGCTACAAACGCGCCCGGTTTTTGCTGGAACCGGTGACCGTGGAAGCAGTGGGGGTGACCGCGGCGAGCTGCAGGGGGTCACCGCGACGAGTTTGGCCAGAGGGGGCGGGGGAGTGCTGCAACCACGACCAGGTTTGCTGGAACCGACGGGGCGGTTTGCTCGAACCAACACCCAAAAATGCTTCCACCGGATTTCGTTTTTTCTGTATCAATGATTTTTTTTGCTACAACCACAGTTTGGTTTTGCTACAACCATAGTTTCAATTTGCTGGAACCAGGTTTTCAATAATTCAACAGGGTGCGGCGACACAAAGCTGTTTTTTGACAACTTTTTGTTGTTGCGAGGGTCGACAGCGAGCATCGGCGGCGAGCACGACACGGAGCTGCAACCGGCGACTAGCGTTGCGGGAACATCGACCATCACCAGCGAGGGAAGCTACAACCCACGGGCGAAGCTTTTTGCTGCATGCGTGGATCCCGACGGCGAGTGCGGCGACCAACGGCGCGGGGGTGGCGATGAGAGGTGGCCCAGGTGAGGCGGTGACGGCCGGCGGCCAGGTGGAAATCCATGCGATAGGGATTGTGGAGGCGAAGAGGGAGAAAGGAAGTCAATGCGGGGATCGAACGGTTCGTAGTTGCTGGATCGGGCGGCTGGGGCTAGTCCGGCCCAACTGTTCGGCTGGACTGCCAACGCCTATCACTGGCCTTTGCAAAAACTTAAAAACATTTATTGGGCACATGACCATCTGCTGATTTCTACCTACTACGCCTCAAAATAAGTGTCTTTGATTATTTTGGGACAGAGGAGTATTGGGCTGGTTGTAATGGGGAGTATCATATACTAGTCATGCATATGATACTAGTGTATGATACTACATCCCTAAGGCTGGTCACAATGGGGAGGAAGTTAGGAGTAACATCACACACACTCCAATACAACTTTGCTTATGTGGCACATATTTAATGAAGAGAGAGGTGCTTGTGGTAACTAGCTAAGTTACCGGAACATCACACACTCCAAGAAACAATGAATCTATAACCTAATAAATACATCGTTGCATGACACTATATAGATGTTCCTACCCACTATGGAGGTAGTAACATAGTCTAGGGAAGCGTGTAAGTTACTACCTTATGTTCTTGCCCATTGTGACCAACCTAATGCATAGTATCATGTAGTACTTTATTTATTGACATGCATGACACAAAGTAGCATAGCATTCAATATAATACGGTATTATAATATGATACTACACCCTCTCTTTCTTCATTTAATGCTATGACATCTCATCAAAATTGCCTAGTTGACATGCATGGTACTAGCTATCGTACTACCATTACGACCAGCCTTAGATTAGACACACACTGCTATAAATTGCGATTAAGCAACCCCGGCTTCTGGTATTGGCACATGATTCTTCATCACCCACTCTGCACGTGACCATATGCTGACTTCTACCAAACTATGTTTAGTTACTCCCTCCGCCTCAAAATGAGTCAAAATAAGTGTCTTTTAATTTAGCACCAGCGTTAGATTGGACGCACGCTGCTATAAATTGCTACGATCAAGCCATTCACACCAATTAAGATCCAGGAGACGAATTCACTCACGAAACCCAGAATGCCGGCCAGCACTGAGCAGCAGCTCATGGAGATCACCAAGGTCGACCTTCGAGGGCTGGAGCCTGGCCGGCCAGGGTGGGACGAAGCCCGGGACACGGTGACCGCGTCCATGGTGGCGCACGGCTGCGTCGTGGTCCACGTCCAGCACGTCGGGCTGGACGAGGACATCCGGCAGGCGCTGTTCGGCCGCGCCATGCCGGAGCTGTTCGCGCTCCCGACGGAGGCCAAGCAGCGCAACGCCAACAGCGACGTGCAGTACGGAGGGTACATCGGGCAGATACCCGGGCATGGCGTACGAGAGCATGCGCATCAAGGACGTCACTGACGCCGGTCAGATCAGCAACTTCGTCGGTCTCCTCTGGCCGCAGGGCAATCCCGCCTTCTGGTGAGAGAGACTAGACTAGCTAGCACATGATCCTTCATCATCCGCTCTATCTTTTTGACATGCATGGATCCCAACATTGTTGTTGCTTCACTCCAGTGACACGGTCGGGGAGTTCGCCAAGCATGCTGTCAGCCTGGAGAAGACGGTGACGAGGATGGTCCTGGAAGGCCTGGGCGTCCGGGACGAGCACGCCCTGGACTCGCACCGCGACCAGCTCTGCTACAGCTTCCGGATGTCGTACTACGGCATCTGCCCGGAGGAGAACGCGGCCAAGGTGACCCTGCCGGAGCACCGTGACTACGACATGACCACCACCATCGTGCAACACGAGGTGGAGGGCCTGGAGGTGCAGCTCAAGGACGGCAGCTGGTTCGCCGTGCCCCCCGAGCCGGACACGGTCGTCATCGTCGCCGGCGAGCTACTCAACGTAAAGCCATATACCTCTCTTCCCCTCCTCAGCAGTGTATTGAATTTGTTTAAGTGGAACGATGCTGTAATGGATGAACCGTCTGGCTGCAGGTGGTGACCAACGGACGGGTGCGGGCCTGCCTCCACCGCGTGAGGACGCCGAGCAACCGCGAGCGCTTCTCGGCGCTGCTGGGCTGCATGCCCACCCAAGGCTCCACGGTGCGGGCGATGGAGCAGCTCGTCGACGAGGACCACCCTCTGGTCTACCGTCCCTGCGACCCGTACGAGTACTGCGCCTTCCAGTACTCGGAGGACGGCCGCAAATCCGGTGACGCGCTCAAGGCTTTCTGCGGAGTAGCTAAACATCTAGACAGAGCAGCTGTGTGATGAACTTTTTATTTTTGAGACAGAGGTAAAAGATTTGCCTCATCCATTAAATAAGCAGAAGAGAATTGCCCGGTTAATTTAGCGGAAAACCGGGCAAAAACCATCACAATCCGCTGAACGGCACATACAAAAGATACCCCACACACACCTATACGGAGAGTGCCTTGTCGAGTTAGCACACAGACGTCATCGTCATCACCTCTCCCCAAGCACACGTCATCGATGCCCCTAATCCCTGAGCAAGCGACTCCGACTTCGCTGCAAACAAACATCGACTCAACCCTCACCGCAGAAGCCGTGCAGAAACACATGAAGATCCTGCTAGAACTCAGCCACCTGCACCGAGGGCAGCACAACATCGCCTCTGAAGGAGAGATCCGAAGGAGAAACCATACAAGGTTGGCGCCGTGGAAGACCACCGAATAGACCGCCCGTTGCTTGTCATCGTTGCCACAAGGGCCCCGCCGCCGCAGCTCCGACTTCACCGCAACAAACAAACCGAGGTAATCCCACGGACACGCCGAAGAAGAGCCGACTACCGCAACCACTGTCATGCCTCCGACTTCACTCGCCCCCATCAACGTTGTTGCTACAGAAGCCCCAGCACCACACCAACGCCTTCCACCAACCTCCTAGCACACCCACCGGTCCCTCTAACCGGATTGAACTTCAAAATCGATGCCCTCAAGAGGGAAAGGACGCTTACGCGCCGCCAACGACCGACCCTCCGGGTCTAGGGTTTCCCCCGAAGTTGTGTCTCACAGAGGAAGAGAGAGCATGCTGTCGACGCCTTCAAGGTTACGGTGTCCACAAACGCCGCCGTCACAGGTTCCAGCCATAGGCAGAAACGGGTTTTCACCCAACCCTCAAAACCTCTGGTCAACAGCAAATCCGGCCAGCCCACCTGCATCTCCACGCATCCACCCCTAGAGCCAGATCCCACAGCAGCAACATCCCATCACGAACAGAGGCCTCGATGCACAGCGCCGCCACCACGCCTGGCCTTGATGCAGAGAAGCAGAGGAAGACCGCCCCAAGCCACCGGGCCAAGATCGCGCCCTCGCATCTGCGGCTCCTCGTTGGAGCGCCAGAGCTGCTCCACACCGCGCCGCCGCGAACTGCAACTCCCTTGCCAGCACTAGATCCGCCCGGCCGCTGGTCACCACGCGCCAGATCTGCGTGCACCGCCCCCTCAAGTCTCCGTCGCGGCCATGCGCGACGCCGCCGCCCCTTGACTCCGCTAGCCCGACGACGCAGCCCCTTGCCGCCGCTAGCCCGACGACGCCGTCCCTTGTCGCTGCTAGCCCGACGACGCCTCCGCTCGGCTGAGCAGCCCCGCGCCGCTCGAGCGCCTCGCGAGAGGGAGAACTAGGCCCCGCCGCCGCCGCCGCCGTGCGGGCTTTGCCCGGCGACGCCCTCCGGTGGCGGCGAGGGAGGGGAGGGGTGGGGTGGGAGTGTTGGGCGGCGGCGCCTAGGGTTTCTCCCGAGCCGTCCGCGGGGAGCGACACGGGAGAGAGGAGAGGGATGGTGAGATGGTGATAGTGATGCTGTGTGATGAACTGATGAAGATAGATCAGCGACCACGGAAGGAACTCTGTGCACGGAAGATTTTTCCTTTATTTTCGCATGTGCTCTCCTATGGCTGGGCTTATCGGTCGAATAATGTTGTCTTCGGCTTTCAATTTTCCTCAGATATTTATCTTAGTTCAGATTTTCAGTTGTTCTTACAATGGAGGAAATTTACTCGGCATACCATGGCATTATGTCAATTCTCGTGTGTGTGCTATGTTTATTAAGTACTGACTACACTGGAGCCAAAGGCAACAACACCAGTCACACAAAAAAACACCTCTTGCCCATGAGCGGCTCCGACTAGGTTTGCTGCCTCCCGGCGCGCTGCCTGCGATTTGCCTCATCTGCCGTGGCCTTATAGCATCTTCAACAGCCGCCCAACACGAGGCGCGTTAAAAAAGTGTTTGCAGCGCGTCGATCGCCTGTTTTTGCGTGGCTCGGAGCGCTGGCTCTAGCGGCCGCTGTAAACTTTAGCGCGCGTGAGTAGCTCCAGCAAGCGCTGCAGAAATACTGCGCGCGCGCTCTCTCGCACAAACAACATATGCACTCTAAACACAACTAAGAAGATCAAACACAAACAAAATAAATCAACAATAAATAGTTCAATTTTGTTATTACAACTCAAACCAATAGTTTATCTTTCAATACAATAAATAGTTCAACAATACGACATCAAACACACAAATCATGATGCTCTTTGTCGGCCATTCCATGCCCACCACTCCTTGATATGAGATCCTTCTAAAGATTATCATGCGTTTCGGCACGTCAAATGACATTATAGGAGGCAACAAAATGGGCCACCCTGGCAGCCCTCCGTCGCACTCGCACGGGATGCCCCAAGAGCTCATAGTGAGAGTAGTCTACATCTTGGCCACGCTCATTCTCGATGATCATATTGTGCATGATCACACAAGCGTGCATGATGTACCAAATCATATTTTGATCCCAAAATCTAGCCGGTCCTCTAACAATAGCAAATTGGGCTTCTAAAATCCCAAAAGCTCTCTCCACATCTTTTCTAGCCACTGCCTGAGCATTGTGGAAATCAAGATTTTTCTTGCCTTCCGGTTTTTTCAATGGCTTCACAAATGTTTGCCACTTTGGGTAGATGCCATCAGCAAGATAGAGCCATAGTTGTATGTACGGCGATTTGCTACAAACTGCACCGGTGGCAGTTCATCATTTGCAATGTTATTCATCAATGGTGATGGCACAACTACGTTAGTTACCCGCGGGATGACGCTTTAGTTACCCTGGGGGATGGCAACTTTAGTTATCCGGGATGGCAAATGTGGTTGTAAAAGCATGACAACTCTATCTGTTTTGGTTAACTATAGTTGCCATGTCTAATTTATGGCAGTTGTCGCGTGTAATCAAACTATAATTGTTGTGTATGATTAACTACTTGCCACATGTGGTCAAAAGCATAATTGTCATGTGTGTTTACCTAGTTGTCACGTGTGGTCCAACCATAGTTCTCATGTATGGTTAATCATAGTTGTCATGTATGTTTATCTGGTTGTCACGTACGCGCAACTGCAGTTGCCTCATGTGGTGCAACCTACGGTGTTCCTGACGGTCCTTGTCGGTTACTAGACACGGCGGAGGCGCGAGGTCCTGCGCCTGCTGACACGTCCACGCGTCGTCGAAGTTCATCTGCGAGGGCGGCCTCGAGAGGCGCCACGCCGCCGCGTCGTACGCGCGGGCGGCCTCGTGCGCGGTCTCGAACGTCTCAATACCGAGATGCACGTCACTGGAGCGGATCTCCGCGTAGAAGATGCCGGAAGGGCGGACGCGAACGCCGCGGTAGCCGGAGCTGCTCCGGCCATGTGACGGTGGGGGAGAAGGCATCGGGAGAAGGGTGTGGCGGCGGCAGTGCGCCAGATGCGATGAAGAAGGGGGCGGCGGGGGGAAGAAGGAGGCGGTGGGGCGCTCGAGTGTGTGGTTGGCCTGTTCGGGCGCGCGGGTTTTATAGAGTGCGCCAAAACTGCCACTCGCCGAGCAACATTTTCACGCGCGCATGATTTTTTGCCGCGCGCCGGAATCTCTCGCGCCCGCTGGAGTGCGTGAAACCGCTCCTCGCGCGCTAAAACACAGGTTTCCCCGCGCGCGCGATATTTACCACCACTGTTGGAGATGCTCTTATGAGGAGGCGGCTGCATGAGGAATCACGTACGTAGGACATGGAGCTGTTAGCACGTTAGTTTTTGCCGTCCAAAACATGGAAACCGAGGACACGATTGACGGACCCTGGCCGGGCGCCTTAGGTCTGCGCTTGGCAACTATGGCACTCGGATGCTACCAATAGAAAAGAAAAACCCTAGCACTTCGGATATAACGGCTGATCGATCGGAATCATAACAGCCAATTCGAACTCGCATCGATCGGCGATCAAGGGTGACAATGACGACATCCGCGGACGTCTTGGCGGGCATCCTGCTGCGGCTCCCTCCGAGCTCCCGGCGGCTGGCCCGCCTGGTCTGCCGGCAATGGCGTGACGTCATAGACACGCACACGGTGGAGATGCAGAGCCGCGTCAAGCCTCTCGTAGTGACGGACGCGGGCTCCGCGCACGTCGTGGACGATCTATCGACAGGGAGCCATAGAGTGCTGTAGAATGGCATCCCTACGGATCTCCCCCACGAACGCAGGAACGTCGTCGTCGGCACCTGCAACGGCCTGATATGCCTCTGCGACAACCGGAAGGTCGGCGGCGCCATCACTGTGATTAACCCGGTCACCGGCGAAAAGCTGTCTTTCCCGCCGTTGCCGCCCACCACAGCTGGGATGAGCTACATCGTGGGGTGGCACGAGGCGTATGGCTTCGGGTACCACCCGATGACTGGGCGGCACAAGATCGTGCATGTGGCGGCCTACGATAGGAAGGGAAACTCCCATCAGGTGAAGGTGTTCACGCTGGGGGAGTCGTCATGGAGAAACGTTGCAACGGGCTCTGTCCCGAGATGCCAATACAGCGCCGGCATTGTCGGCGTCAACGGCACCATGTATTGGGCTGCGAAGCGCGGAAGGAAGCTCATGGCACTGGACCTCGACCATGAGCGTCTCTCTTTCATCAAGTCGCTACCTGATGTGTCGTCTGGAAGCTGGAACCTGACGGAGGTGCGGGGGAGGTTGGGGGTGGTGTTTTACGCGTTTCCCCATCAGTGTGAGGTATGTACGTGTTTAGAGGATTTTACACATAGGATCCGTCTACCTCTAGGTCCACACCTATGTTTAATTAAGTCTCAGTTTGTTCAAAAACAGTGAAATTTAGACCTCTTGTAGTGTTTGTTCGGCGTGCTATTTAAAATGTTTGTTCATGTGTTTGAATCAAAGTTCCTTAGTGCAAGACCTCTTGTAAACGCTATAGTGGGTCATAACGAAGCTATAGCGGGCTATTTAAAACCATGATTTTAGTTCAGCAAGAAGCGGCGCAATTTTCCATCTAGTAGTTACATTTTTCTTTAAAAGGGTGTGTAGGTTGTATTACTATTTACTAGCTCCATCCCAAATTATAAGACGTCTTTTAGGCTATTTTAGTGTCCCCCAAAACATCTTATAATTTGGGACAGTGGAAACAATATTTATAATACCAACCTAAAGTCACACTTCTCTATATTGATCAAGACTTGAGAAAAAATTCAATCGACTTGAATTGAATTAGCAAAATCGTTACACTTATTCACTTGTGTAATTGTTTTTCCAACAGATATAACAAATGACACTGCTCTTAATTTCTGCACTATAGCCGATTGATCAAGTTTGGTCACATGAAACTATTGCATCTTTAAATCAATTTGAGTGACATCTGCAGGTTTGGGTTCTAGAGGGTGCAGCGACAATGAGAGAACACACATGGAGCCGTTGGTACACCGTGAGAAGGGACATCTCATCGTCGATGACCTGGCGACTCACAAGGCCACACTTTGCTCACAGGGAGTACCTCCTCACAGAGGAATTGTCTGATGGTTGCGGAGGGACACGTAATGTCGTGTATAAACACAAGCCCAACAACGATAGCGGCATGGTGGAGATCAATGAGACGACTCCAGGAACAAGAGTCCTCACGATAAAAGCTGCCTTGCCCAACCATTGTCAGATGTTTGCCTATGTGGAGACCACGGAGCCGCTAAGTGTTTATAAGTGTTGTTCTTAAAGGTAGCACAATCAGTATTGTTCCACATACGGCTCAAAATCCTAAGATTTGTTACAATATACTCAAATCAATATATGTATCGCCCATTTTTGAAAACTCAACATTCAGAATTCAAACTTCCAAAAATTTCAAAGTGCCAAAACATTTGAACTTCTAAATTTTTGGAACTTCCACGACAAAGAACGGTCACATGCGTATGAACCCCACCAGGAAGAAGAGGAGAATTGAGAGAAGGGGGAAAACCACATGTGTGCCCCCCACCCACCGCGTCCCTATAGAAAAGCCCTCCCCACAGAGCGCCAGAACCTATTTGAGCAAAGCTCTCGGTCCACGAGCTCAAGCATTTTCCACATATGAGAAAGAATGCCTAAACCTTGATGATGGATGTGTAGAAATGGAAAGCATACCTTCATCATACGCCCTTTACAATGTATACAGATCATAAGAGTTTGACACATTTGGCAACCAGTATTGTCAACATTGTCACAAAAAGAAAAACTAGGATTACCCGGCCACTGATGTTTCCTCATATTGTTTCTAGTCAAGTATTCCCTTCGTTGCCACATACTACCTTTGTACCAAAATATAAGACGTTTTTGTAGGCTAGTTTAGCCTACATAAAACGTCTTCTATTTTGATATATGGAGGGAGAATTTTGAAACGAAGGGAGTATAATTTTGGATAAGTTGCCACATAAAGATATAATTTTCAGGTGAACAGGAGCTTCCCAAATCAATTTGTTATTGGGACCAGCAAGATCTTTCTCCAACCACCGATATGGATAGATTTAGTGGTGAAGGCTCGGTTTTTAGAAAGGGGCCAAACAATACCATCAAGTTTGCTAGACAATTAGATGTTATTCCAATGATCTTATGAAGCACCAACTAAATGGCCCCTGAAAAGCACCAAATAATCAGCCGCGATGAAATTAGCAATAGTACAATCCTGACTTTGACAAATGTCAAACAATCCAGGGAAAAGTTTTTTCAAAGGGGTATTGTCATACCAAGGATCATGCCAAAGCATAGTAATAACCCCCTGCTTAGTAACAAATAACAGTAGCCCTCGCAACAAAATGGTACTCCTTAACTTTCATGATGGATTTCCAACATGGAGAATCCGAAAATCTGGGTTTAATACTAGCAACCAAAAAAGGTGATTCTAAAAAAGAGAGTTTTGTTCGATGCCGGGGTAAAGCGGCAATTAAACGGGGCCTGACTCTGTAGACTTGAAGCAGAACATACGTTATGTTCAGGGAGCGTGGCGGGTCTTACAAATAGTTTTGGATGCAAGCAAGCGTAGCAGAAACTAATTATTGGAGTACCTTTTCTTTGTACGTGATTAACGCAGTACATTTTCCGTGTGCACGTGATGACACCAAGTGCAGTCTATGGCGAAGACGACGAAGCCGGAGGGCGTCTCGAAGAGCACCTTGATGTCCTCCGGGATGTACTTGACAGTGAGGTTCTCGTTGTCGAGGTGGTGCGCCAGTAGCTCCGTGTTGTACCCCGGATACTCCTTTGCTAGGGCTTCCAGCCGCTCTGTCCCCATCTCCATCCCCATCTCCATCTCATCTCCTGCGCGCACGCACCTGCTTCGAATTGAAGAGAAGAAATTGATCAATCGGTCGAGGATTTGCGGGAGATGAGAGGGCGCAGAACAGAACCAGATCGATCTAGGGTTTTACCTCTGGAGAAGTTGCCGGTGGTGGTGTGGGGGCGAGAATGGGCGCGCTCCACCAAAAACAGGCCACGTTCTCTCAAAAGAAAGAAAGAAACATGCCACGTTTTTTGTTATGTTTTCTAGGGGGGAAACAGGCCACGTTTTGTCGAGCGATGCGGTGGGTCTCGCAAATGGGCTGGCCCATTTGCTCTGGCTCACTGCATGTTACTGTTTTTTATTATTATTAGGCTTTTCTCGAAAACTCCTAAAAAAGGATTTTCTCAACAACAACAAAATGTTCTCCTGAAAAATAAATGTTTATTGGCATCCCTTTTTCTACAGGAAGGATAATTCTATGTTTCACTCACCACCAAAATCAGAAAATGTAGCTGCCGGCGTTGCCTAATGTTTTATTTCACTTTAACAGCTCAACCACAACCTTTACTCATTTGTACTTTCCCTCCATAATAAAATGTAAGACATTTTTTAAGCCATATGCAAAACCTAAAAAAACCTTGCATTTTGGTACAGAGGTGCTTACCGACATGGCAGAACAGCTTAAGACTGATCGGAATAAGAACCGGCGTCAGGCTGACTAATTTGCAGCCACAGCGAAATAGAGAACAACTGCGCCGCAAAGGAACGTCAAAGACGACATCTAGACCACAAACTAGCCAAATTTGCAAAAGCCGGCAATCGGTTGCAAGGCGCAGAATACAATCTCTAGCTCGTTTGTTTCTTCTACTTTACACACAATCTCTAGGGGCAACAACATCTAAGAGCTTGCAAATTAAGAAGAGGCTGAGTTGGTTTTGGAAACCGGAGCAGACGGATGCATGGTGATCATCTGCTCCCAGTCCGATACATCCCATCGATCATGAGATAAATCTTGCATCCCTGGACAGATAGCACAGCCACCAACCTCGCCGCAATCAGTCGGTCTTCATTGCCTCCGCATGATAGGATTCCAGGTCTTTGTCCAGGTCATCTGCGCTTTTCTCTGGCCCCTTCCTGCCCCGACCACGGCCCTGGCCCCGGAACTGACCGCGGCCCCTGCCTCGGCCCTGGAACTGGGCCTGTGATGGAGCATAGCCCCTGCCTCCGCCTCGTCCAGCTTGGAAACCACCACGTCCAGCTTGGAAAGCACCACGATTCAATCTGGTGGTGGGATTACTGAAACGGCAGATTGAGAGTGAGCAAAGAAATAAAGATAAAACCAAACACAACAATTCCTGTCTGTTTTGAGGGCATCAATTCAAAGAAACAACATGACTAAAATAGATATATACATCTGAAATAGCAATTTGAACTGTCGCACGGACAACATGGCTGCTTCATGCTAGAAATTTAGTAGCATGCATGTGTTACAACTTATCGCTCACATCTGAACCTTTTGTGTCATGTTTTTCCTTGAAAGAAAGAAAATGCTCACTAATCACAGTTGATCACGCAAGTTGAGAGCAGAATGTGTCATAAGAAATTTATTTATAGATCCTAGTATTGCTGCTAATAATCAGTTAACAATACAAACAACGACACAAGGATAAACTACATGAGCCAAATAATTGCTAGTAACAGACTGAATTGCCACATTAAAAGTCAAAATCATTAGAAGCTTTACCTCAAAGGCCTAGTGCTGGAACCACCACCACGCCGACCCGTTTCAGGCCTGAAATGTAACACTTGTTTAGATACAGCAAAATAGTATGGATACATGATCACATACACACACGAAAAATACTGTTAACTAAATAAAAATGCAAATACACAGTTAGCTTCCGTTTGGAATGCAGGAGTTCTACAGGAAACAGTTCCAAGTCAGACAGGATTCAATAAAAAATCTCATATTCCAAACAGGCTCTTACAACTTGGATCTACTTACTGGCAAGTGATTTGCACTTGCGGTAATCGAACTTCAGTAAATTTGACAACTAACATGACTAAAATGCAGAAGTTGCTGATCAGACAAATAGAAGATGGCAGATTAGCATGAAGTTGGTTGACAAACAAAAAAAAAGAGAGGGGGGTTTCCATTGTGGGCAAGCAATTAGTGTTGAAAACATTGGACAAAGAAACAATGCATTGGCATAGGCTGAGGCCGAGCGGTGATCCAGCTGATGTTTTAGGTTACGTATTAGAAGAGAAAACCAGCAAAAGTTCAGGCAACAAAAGAATATCACTGAACTCGTCAAATATCCAACACGTCCATTGAACACACTTCTGGTGGCAGATGTAGAACATTGAAAAAAAAAACATGAATGGTGAAGTAGGCAAATTTGAAATTTTCACTCACGTCATAACAACCGTTCTTGTAGCTCTACCATTGGATGCCCCGGCAACATTTATACGAGGTGTCATAGACAAACCCAGGTCACTTCCAATAACCTCAATCTTCATAGATTTTCCATCAAGCAGAACATTATTATAACGTTTCAATGCAGCAATTGCATCACTCCTCCTTGTAAACACCACTTCTGCTGTGCCCTTTAAAAAATAAAAATAAAATAGTGAGAACAAAAAGTTCTAGATAAATAATAAATACAAATGAGTATTCAAGTAAACTTAATCTAAAAGTATAAACTTATTGGCTTCACTGGCTAAAAAGATAATATATAGGCATGCATTCAACCATTTTTTGCACCCAAGGTAAAAATATGAGAAGAAACTAGCTAAATACTATACCTATATTTCCTCTTCTACCGGTAAGCTAGATGCTTCACAAACCACTGGTACTTAAGTCACCCTCGCTAAGAGACGCACACCAATACAATCGATGTCCAGTAACAACAGCTAACAAAGTAGGCTTTTAACTAAAAAATTAAGAATAAGGATATGCAAACAAGAACTAATCCCAGCGGGGCATTTACCTCGCCAACACTTAAATCCAGCTCTACCCAAATTAATTTGGTTCACCCCAACATTACCCACTTGTTTGACTTGCCCTTACCCTATCCAAATGATACCAAATGCAAGATAATAGATTTTCTAACAAGTTGTCATCGCTAACATATAATTAAGTTGTGAATATACATATTCATCTAGAGAAAACAGAAACTGCTGAAGGGACAATGCGAAAAGGTTTCAATATCCTCTGAAAGCAAATCAACATATACATATCATTTTTACTCTCCATATAGTGTTAAAAATGATGAACTTTTCATGCAAGGTGAAGTAAAAAAATAAGTCACTTTGAGTTTTCATATAGAACATATGATGCATAAAAATTTCTTAAAAGGTATGCTAAATATGCTCAATACTTAAAGCTGAAATGCCAAAAGAGTTACGAACATTTTGGCGACCATAACCATCAAAGTGAACAGCAAAGCGTTTCAAATGACCAACTTCTGAAAACAGCTCCTGAAATGCACATTAAAAATATGTTAGTGTAATAGTTAATATATAGCAATCTAGAATGGAAAATTCAGGCTGTCTACTTGTTCCACCAACCTTTATATCCTCATTGGAAACACGATAGTCCAAGTTTGAAATGTACAATTTTGTACCAGTTTCAATTCCACTAGCCGCCATACTATCACTAAATAGATCTGGTCTCCAGGTCATGTCTTTGGTTCTGCTAAAAGACTGAAAATGCCAAATGACCAGCATGTGAGGAAACATGTCTGTCATAGAAGAATGCCACCTCAAACTTTTAAGATGATCATGATAGCTATTAGGAACCACTTAGAATATGTAGCAACAAGCTACTGAAGAACAGCCAAGCTAAGAAATACTGCATAAAGCTAATGATCGAGGGGAAGAGAGTTCCAACAATATCACATATATCGAAAGCCAAATATATAAATGGCTTAAGCTCTTCCTCAGGAGACAGTCCAGAAGCACACCACTGGAGTACAGTCCAGAACTGTCTGAGGAGCAGCACATTGCAGTTCCAAAAACCGTTAGTGTCTCATGTATCATACACATCGAATCATGGAACTCCGTAAAGTTTCAAACATAGCAACAAGATCAGCGGAGACTCTTGCTTCAGTGCCACATTAACCAGACACATAAAATTGCAAGGACTGCATGAATTTTCTTTTTCATGTATTTCCCCCTCCATGTGTTTGATGAACAGATGGTATCCTTCAAAGTTTCCATTAGATGTATTCATCACAGTTACTTCTGTCACCCATAAATGAAAGCTTGGCAGTGCTCTACTCAATAAAATATTCATCAAAATACCAAAGTTACTTCTGCCCCTCCACATGATCAATGAGATGCTCTAGCCAACAAAGGCCCCGTTAGTGGTAAACAACACTGTTACTATGCTCCTCCATACAAAAATCCCAGGGATGCTCTCCATTCTCCTCATTCAGTTTTCTACTTTATTCAGGAATCTGACCATGAACAAAAATGAAGTGACAGATTTGGCCTTGCCTTAGCAATAATGCGTGCAGATGGTCGAGCGTTAATCCCAAGTGGTCCTCGAGGAGGAAGCCCTGATCTCCCACGCATGGCATATCCACCTCGCCCTCCTCCTCCTTGAAAACGCTCACTACCCCTATCTCCACCTCTTCTTGCATAAAATGACATCCTGAGTTGTTTCGGTCTACAGCAGATAAGACAAGTCTTGAACAATACAATGACAATCTGCAAAACAGATAATAGCTTCAAGAGTTAGAAATGAACATTGCTCTATAATCCAAACCCATAAGAAACTAAACAAGCATGTAAGTTGTAACAGAAGATGAATTTATAATGCTGCCAACTGTAAGGGGAAAAATGCAGATAACATGTCTGCTCCATTACAATGCATCCATATGTATACACAAATAACAAAAGTAACACTTAACAAGCAGCAAGTGCAAATAAAAAAAAGGACAACAAGCAGAAAATGCAAATAAGAGAAGGCAAACAAGTAGCAAATGCAGTTACAAAAACAAGAATAAAGAAAGCGTTGGGCGTTAATTTTGCATTTTGCCACCACCTAGTGCTTATCTCGCCTAAGTGCACGCCTACACGATTAAGCGCTAGGCATTTTGTTGTCCACTAGCACCTAGGCACACTTGAGCGCACGCCTAGGAGCATTTTTTAATACTGATAAAAAAAGAACTGCCTGCATCAAAAGGATATACTAATCGTGATAAATGCGTAGAAAGATCCAATCCAAAGAAATCTCCAGGGTTTGGTGCCAATCATAAACAAATGATAGTCAACCTGGCACTATCAAGACAACACACAAATGAATTACTCATACATCTTAGTATCTTTACTAATACTATTCCAATGTACTACTCCCTCTGTAAACAAATGTAAGACGTCTTACATTTGTTTACAGAGAGAGTATACTATTTACAACTTACTACAACATTAAATCTGGTAGGATTTCTAAAGCCCTTGCAGATTACTGTAGGCAGGGTTGGATCACACTGTGAATAAGCACTGCTTGGAAAGAACTTGTGAGACAGATAATTCCCCATTCAGGACACACCATTTGGGAATCACCATTTATCAGTGTCCACCAACAACGAATTCAACCCACCAACAGTGTGTCTGAACTGACATGAACCAGGAGGTTGTGCACAAATGTCTTACTGTAGATCCTAACCCTGACTCTAGGTTCCAGTGTCAGCGTCAGTGTGCGTGGGCATGGTTATAGGCCTGGATTTGTAACCAATCTGAATTATCAATGAAGAAATAAGTTAGTATATGTATCCTCCTCTCTTTCCTCTTCCTCCCCAAATCTTCTCTTCTGACCCCTGCTGTTTTTCGCCAGATCCATTACATCTAACCCAATCAAATCATAGGCTAGGCCATGACATACATCTATCCCCTCCTATCTGCATCGATAATTTAACCCACGGGCATAAGCGGATGCTGCGGCTCAGTGGCAAGCTACTGCACAGCCCAGCAAGGTCCGAATTGTAACCTAAATCCCCCCACTCCCCCACCCAGCAAAGCTCGAACTGTCAATCCCAGCGGACGCTGCCCGACCAAAGCGGATCGAAGAAGAAAACAACAAGAGCACCGGGTGCGCCGAGCTAGGGGGGCTGGGGTTCCGCTGGAATCAAAACCCTAGCTAGACCCTCGTCCAGTGGCGGAGGGCGGAGAAAAATAGAGGTGGGGCGGACGGGTATGGCCTGGACGCACCTGTGCTGCCGCTGCCTTCCCGCCGGTGCTTCTGCCGCAGCTGTGCCGGCGCCGCCGCCGCCGTCAACCGTCGCCGCTGCTGCCTGGCGGCGCTGGCTGCCTCTTGGGGAGTCGGGAGGAATTGGTCTCTCTGTTCCGCTCGTCAGCTCCAGGCTCAAGCGCGTGAGGACTACTTTGGTCCAGTCCAGCCACGGTCAGCTCACGGCCCAAATAACATTGGCCTACCAGGCCCTTCCTGCCACGGTGCAACCCATTTACCGGGGATGGTTTCTTCGAAGAGTCTACAAAAAACTACTCCCTCCGTTACTAAATACGGAGCATAAGTCTTTTTAGAGATTTTAATAAAAACGACATATTTAAAAGAAACTTATATTTAGGAGCGGAGCGACTAATTATTAAGGGTACCTCATCTTAAAAAGACTAACTAAAGGTACCTCTTGCAAAGGCCACTCACACTTTTCGTAGCGTTTTTTCAGAACATAGTACAATCAAAGTCACTCACATACACGAGCATATATTCACCCTTATAAACGCACGCACCTCATCTCTGGCTTTGACAAATGGCACATTGTATGCGACACTTATTACCTTCTCTTAAACAGCGTGTTTGAATCACAAATTAGTGTTAGCATTGTGTTCTTGCATTGAGATCTTTGAAATTAAATCTCATATTAATAATTTTGGACCATTTTTCCCCAAAAAAGGGAGTCGGTAAAAAATCAAAACCAAAAAAACACAAAAATAGGGGGAAAAAAATTAAATAGAAACTAAAACTAAAAAAAAGGTCCAGTGGCGGAGGGCGAAAAAGAATCTTGTTTATGCTTCTGCCCGCTACGAGAAACACGAGAGGGTACCCGTTGATTAGTTACCCTGGTTTCTTTCTCGGTAGTTTTTGATGTACTGGACTAGATTCTTTTCCTCCTTCAAGAGGTATTCATAGAGGAAATTAGAGAAGTTCTTAACTTTTATTGCAATGCCTCAGTCAAAGTGTAAATTTGGAGAAATCTTCTGTATTCTTTACAAGGGTTGTCCCAGTGACTTGAAGGCTGAAGTGAAGCGAGTTTTAGAGGTTCAACCAGAGGCACTTTTAGAAGAAAAAAAACCTCAATATGCCTACGGACGTGGAAAGGTCGAAGAATGGGGTATTCCAGCATGTTAAGAATCGATTGTGGAAAAGAATACAAGGGTGGATTGAACAATTACTTTTTTGTGCCTGGAAAGGGGTTTCTTACAAAATTAGTACCACAAGCTTTGCCTACATAAGCTATGGGGTGCTTTAAACTTCCTAGGGGGCTTATGTGAACACATTAACTCCGAGTTGAGAGAGCTTTGGTTGGGAGCCAAGAAAGGTAAAAAAAAAAAACTTGGATTTCACGTAAGGACATGTGTCAACCAAAGTATTTGGGAGGAATGGGGTTTAGGAAAATTGAGTTGTGTAACTTGCCATTATTGGAAAACAAGGGTAGATAATTCTTTAAGAGATCAAATTCTCTAAGTGGTCAGATCCTTAAGGTTGCATATTTTTCCAATACGAATTTCTTCAATCTAGAATTGGCGCCGCTACCGTCATAGATTTGGAGATCAATCCTAGAGGGAAGGTCTTGAAACAAGGACTAATGAGGAGAATTGGAAGGGAGAAACCACTCTCATCTAGAATGAAAATTGACTACCAAGGGATAATATGATGAGGCCTTTCGCACTAGTAAAAGAGGATTACCCAACTAGGGTATGTGAAATACCTGACCAAGCATCTAGAGCATGGAACATGGAGATGTTGCAGGATCATTTGCTCCTTGTTGATGTGGAACTAGAACGCCAAATCACACTGCAATTGACCAACATGGAGGACTGCTGGGCATGGACAGTGGAGAAATTTGGGACCTTTTCGGTCTAGGTTGCATACCGTATGTTGGTTCATACGTGTAATGAAAGAGAAGATTGGGTTGATGGCAGCCCTTGAAGCTCTAGTACGAAGGAGGAGATAGCTTTGACAAAACTTCAAAAACATAAGATCTTAGCACTACTAGCAAAAGGCCTACTAATGGCGCATCGGTTTTGCCTATTAATGGCGGTGCGCCATTAGTAGCACGCCACTAAATTTTTTTACTAATGGCGCACCACTGGTGCGCCATTAGTATCTGATATACTAATGGCGCATCAAGCAGTGCGCCATTAGTATGTAACACCATGCGCCATTAGTATGCCTCCCGGGGGCCATATGTAACCATGTGCTTTGTCATACTAATGGCACACTCTGTCTTAATGCGCCATTAGTATCCTTTGGCATACTAATGGCGCACTCTGCCTTGATGCGCCATTAGTATGAATATTTGGTGTGTTTTTTTTGCTTTTCTGATTTTTGCACAGGTTACAAAATATATTATTGGACAGAATATAGACAGCAGCACACAGCAACAGCAGATTCATCGAATACAATAGAAGATTAGTCTCCGAATACAATTCATCATATTAGTCTCCGAATTCAAAGACTGAACAAAGATAAAACATTACAAGTCTCAAGACCGCGAGTATCGAGTTTGTCTTCACATTACAAGTCGATATCGATCATCTAAACTACCATCACATAAAAGAGAGCTGCGGTCATCACGATGAGCATCATCGCGATCAAACTGGTCTTCATCCGGTTCCTCCAACGCTCCCTCCTCTCTCCCGCTAGATAGCGGGCGTATCTAGATTCGGCCTCCGCCCTAATGGTGTACCCTTTGTAACTGTTACCGTTGAAACGGTGAACCTGTCTCCGACACTCCTCCCAGTCGTCGTAGACTCCGGAAACCTTACCCTTGTACACGACATACGACGACATCTCTATGCACAAGCCAAACAACAGACAACAGACAATACATAAGCAATATGTAAGTATGCAACAAAAGGATCGGAAGAGAAAAGCAAGACATTAATAGCACGATTCATGATCCTACTAATAAATAGCATCGATTACATCTAAGTTGAATGACTGTCCAAACCAAAGAGACATACGAATTCATTAAAGTTTAATTACAACATGAGCCAATCAATATTTCAGAACTACACATCACTACTTTCGACTCGACTCATCGGACAGGAGCGTGGATGAAGCTGTCGTCTGTTGTGATGGTCATGAAATTGCGGTCGTTGTCACCTTGCATTTGTAGCGTTCCATCTATCTCATTGTTGGACGGTTGATATCTGAGGTAGAACTGCCCCGAGATATGAAGGACATCTTGATGGATGATGTCCGCAAACTCCGACTGGATGCGAAAGAATTCTTGTCTGAGGTACGCGTCCTAGGTTGCCGACAACCTCGCGGCCCAATCTTTGAGACTATCTGGTAGCAGAAGTTGATAATGGTCCCTTACGATCGCCCGCATGTGATGGAGAGCGTAGTAGGCATCCTTCTGACCGCCAGGCGGTTGCTTGACGCAGCAGAAATTCGTATTGTGTGA